TCTTTGGCGTCGCTTATTACCGCACAATGGAAAGCATGAAATATTGATATATTTACGAGTATGAGTTCTACCATGGCACCAGTGCTGCAGAAACAGCTCAAAGGATTAATGATGTGTACGGCGCTGGCGTCGCAAAGAAATGCATGTTACGTTTTTGATTTCAAAGTTTTCGTTCTGGAAATTTCGACCTTCAGAACTAACCCCATTGACTGCAGGAGACCAAATTAGAAAATAAAGAATTAAAGGCTATTGTGGAAGCGGATCCATCACAAAGCACTTAAGAGATAGCTGCAGGCTTCGTGGTAAGTGATAAAATTGTATTAATCCACTTCCACAAAGCACTTCAATAAAGCAAATCGGGAAAGTAAAAAAACTTGAATGATGGGTACCTCATGAATTTAGTGAATCGAACTTGCAAACACACGTCAACTGCTGTATTACTTTGCTCAAGCGACACAAAAATGAAGGGATTCTATATCGAATCATTGTTTGTTTCAATTTCACAGTACCTGGTAAACAACCGAGATTGGTCAATCGCTCTAGGCCACTGCTGCTTCACGACAACGCAAGACCACACACTGCACAACAAACAACCACTAAGTTAGATGAGCTACAATTGGAATGTCTGCGACATCTACCATACTCCCCTTTGCTCCAACAGGTTACCATTTTTTCCGGAATTTGGACAACTTCTTACAAAGACGAAAATTCAACTCCGATGCGGCAGTTCCAAACCGCCTTTAAAGAGTTTATTGATTCTCGCCGCCATGGTTTTTTTTAGTAAAGGGATCAATGAACTACCTATGAGATAGCAAAAGTGCATAGATAACAACGGTGCATACTTTGGTTAATTAAATATATTATACAAAAAAAAAATTGACTTTATATTCCTTCCGTACAAAATGCCAATTTCATATGTAAGGACCTAATATTATGAGATTATCACAGATAATAAAATATCAATAATCTACTAATTTTAATGTTACTACAGCCTATATATCCAAGATTTTAAGTCTGAAAACAAAACTAATACTATCTTTAACTACTCCTTACAAAGTATCTAATTTATACTTGCTAATTATTTATATTGTCAATACGAACATCCATGAAAAAAAAAATACAAAAGTAAGAATATATATAATTTGTTTATTATACTATTACAATTCCAAAATTTCATTCATATTATATGAAGTAAATATGGCTATTATCTTCTATTTTATAATTACATTATCGCATGTGGTCATTCAAACTTTATACAGGTTAACTCATCACAACTTGTGTAATATAAAATTTATAAATTGTTTAAACATTTTTATAGTGTACAATTTTATAATTAAATTTGATTCATAATTCATATTGTTATAGCTAAAATTCTCTCTTTCACCACCTTGATTAGAGTTATTAAGCAATAAATTAAAACTATAGGTTTGACTTTACATAAATCATATATAATTGAAAATAAATGCTAGGTGGACACTTCTTAGTGAATTTTCATTTCATTTGAATTTTTACAACTATCTTAAGAAAAAAGAAAATAAAATATTATAATAAATTATTTAATAAATTGTACTTATCAACATTTATTTATAATACAAATTAAAACTAAATTATAATTTAATTTAAGCAGTCACTTCACCTCTTTCTTTGAAGGCACAGTCTTTTCTGCAGGTTTATTGGCTAAAGGTTTTGACATGGATCATTTTTTCTTCCGGTCTTGTGTACATTTGGGACAATACCACTTTCCTTTAGGTTTAATTTTAAGATCAACACAAGCAAAATGGAACCATTCTATAGGGCAATCAGGATTATCACAACCTATCATCTCACCATATGATACTTGGTGACATAGACAATATGTTGGCTCATTAGGATCTACAGGCATGTCAAGAACATCACTAGGATGTGCCATGCCAGCAACAGAATCGAGATCCGCATTTTCTTCCTGTTCTTTGACAGCATTAGTTGCAGTTGTTGCACCTTTCCTCTGTGCCTTCTTCTTAGCTGCTGATCGACCATTTGCTGCTGCGTCATCTTCACTGGAAGCACCTGCACGTTTCTTCTTTCCTGTAGATGTGGCGGCCTTTTCATTACCTTTATGTTTCTTTCTGCCCTTTTTGACAGTTGTAGTACTAGTCTCTTGCTCTGCGGCAGCCTGTTGCGCGGCACGCGAGCTCATTACTTTCTCTTGAATTTCAGTTTCAAAGCGTGCGAGGTCAGAATCAAGTCGCCGTATGTGTTTATCGACTAACTCATACGTCTGTATTGCTAGCTGTACTTTATCGTCGCCATACTCTTTGGCCTTATTAAATAAACCCTGGATTGTATTAACCTTCTCCTTTTTGGTTTCATCGTCCATCTTAGGAATATTCGGCAATAATTCATCGGCCATAAGATCGATTGTCCTCATTAGCCCGTGCGCTCGATCATCGAGATCCCGCATTAATTTGAAGTTCCTTTGTAATTCTATTGGAAGATGTTGAAGACTATCTAGATAATGCTCCAAATAAAGTGCTGAAGTCATTTTGCAATAGTTTGTAACGACTCTACTTTAAAAAGTCAAAAGTTGTCGCTCCAGAAAGAAAGAAACAGAAATTACCCCAGACTTGGTTGATTTTTCATTAGTTCTTCATTAATTCACTCAAAATAAATTGAACCTTTACAATTATTCATTAATGAAAGTAAAAATAAACATTTTATTTATCACTCACTACAAATACAATGATCCAGTTATAAAGGTAATCTATTTAAAATCTATGAAATGAAAGCTAGCTAAGGCTAAACCATAGCCAACCAAGCTATAGAGTATAGGTGCATATAGGTGTATAGTAAGCGATAGTAAGCCGTAGTAAGCTATAACCAAAGAGTTTGTTTTTGTCTGTTGTTACGGTTCGCTAATTGAGGTAGGCATAGATCTTGTACCATACAGCCTTGTCTGATTAGTATTTTGTTCACAAAAAATCTTCACAATATTCTGATTGGTCATTGGCCAGTTATATTGAGCCACATTGGCTAGTTATATTGAGATTTTGATGTCAGTTGTCAGTCAGCTTAACCCAGCCGATAGTTGATGACGTTGTTATCTCAAGGTCCCTAGAAGCCTAAAAAATCTAAGATTTATATCATCATCGCAGAACTTGTACATTGTTTCCACTAATAGTTCACATGCATACATTTAGTACAAAAATCATACCAATATAACGTATAAAATATAAAAATAATAATCCAATATATTTTATGATAAAACTGTTATGTTCCCGCCAAAACTCCTATGCTCAAAGAGTTTTATCACTATTCACAATTCATTATTAAGCTACGACTACAGACCTACTATACCTAGGCTGGCAACGGCATTGTTAGAAAAGAACGTGTGAGTACATATTATGTGTGCGCATGTGTATCGTAAACATGTACCAATACTCTAATGTCGGATATCTAAAAATAATAAGATTTTATGTCTTATATGATGAAAACTTAAGCGGCGTGACGAATCGATATTTATCGGTGTTGGAATTTACAACGTGCACAATGAGCACTGGTGAAGTTTCCAAAACCCACATAAAAACAGAGAACATGCTCATTGGGTTCGTTCCCCGCCATCCATCCAATTTAATCTTTCTGAGTCGGGGTGACCCAAGACTTGAGCTCGCTTGACTCACTTTTATGGTCAATTAAAATTATATTTATGATCGAATAATCATCAATAGCGATCAAATAAACGATATTTAGTAAAAAATTATTAATGTAAGGGACAAAACTTAGTATAAAAATAAAAACTTAATAAGGGAGGCCAACCCAAAGATGATGTTTGTTTAATTTATTATCATAATTAAAAGACGAACAAACAATTTTTATGTACGAACCATAACGAATAAACAACGAACAACCAACTAAAAATAAAAAAACAAAATAATTTCAAGAGGGGCTAAGTTCCATAAGCTAAAAAAAACTCTATTCTCTTAATAGTCTGTGCTAATCATACCCTCTTAGTAGTCTATGGTATTACTCTTTGGTTAAGAGTTAAGAATGGTTGGCTTTTAGCTGTAATTTAATATTAAGTAGATTAAAGTTTTTGTTAAATACATTTTAGAAAGTTAATATACAAATTAATTATATAAAAAACGAAAGGCGAACAAATAGATTGTAAAGGTATTTCGTCAAATTGTAATTATTCACTCATAAATCCTGTTAACGTTGTCAAAAATCATATGTATATAAAATCCATAATTAGTAAAATATAAAAATCATATTATTTTATATTTTTAATACGATAAAATGTTTTTAAAGATAAATGAAATAATGCATGGTGTTCAATTTTTTTATTAGGTTTTGGCTTGAGAGTAATTTGATGACTTGCCAATTAAAGTATTGGATAACCTTTCCTAAAATAATTTAGAAACCTTTTAATAATTTGATTGTTTTATGAAATTCTTGCATTCTGCGTTCTTTTAACTAAGAAGATATAGTTTTCATTGTCATTTTTAAAATCTGAGACATTCATTTCTCATTACAAATATATACAGCAAATACCTGCTCAAGGTTATTATGAAATATGTATAAAGAAATAGATATAAAATATAAATTTAAACAAAGATAGGTCGTACCTGAAGTAATCACTGTACACTGGATACTGAATTGATTCTAATTCCTTTTACTTCTTTTATATTTTAAATTATTGAAATTGAAATTTTCTCCTATATTGTGGAGGCGGATTATATATATAAATGTCATAAGGACACATTCAGGCCGAGGATACTTACACTGAGCATGTGTTTGTGTTTGTAAAAAAGGGGGGTTCAAACTTCCTACTGTGCAATAAAGCAGATTAATGAAGTACCAACAATATAAAAAATAACACTTCAGGCTATGATCTGATGAATTTGTTGCATAATTCTGCATCAATTTGGTTGAATTTCAGATAATTGTAATATGTGGCAGGTGAATTTATATATTCCTTAAAAAAATCAATTATTTACTTTTGTAAATAACTTTTCAGAAGTAAAATGCGCCTGGTGTTACCAATAGTACTTATTTTATGCAGTGCACATTTTACACATGCATATGAAGACACAACATTGGAGGATGATGATTTTGCAGAGTTTGAGCAATTTGATGTTGATGATGATACTCCTGTAGATGGTGAGCATTTTCATTCATACATAAAGAGTTGTGAATATTAACCTCTCAGATCCTGAAATTGTATCGGACTAACTCCGTCAGACCTGTGTTAGGCCAAGGTCAATATTTTTTTTTATTATAAACTATGTCGGCTTAGCAGGGCAATGTAGTACTTGACAAACCTTGTAGATGGCGCAGTTATAGAATTATTTAATTTGTGAGATTTGTTTCTAGTAGAATATTAAGTTTATAAAATGGCAATACAAAGAAAAAACATTTTTTTTATTTTTTTGGCATCAACCTGCGCAGCCAGTGAATTTATTTAAGTGTAATTTGGTAATGAGACTAATTCTAGTAAAAATTTTGGGATTTTAGTTGTATAATTATATATATTGTATAAATAACATTTAAAAAAGAATTGTTCTGAGGGGACTACACAGATTAATGATACAATACACAGAATAAATATGTGTATTGTGCTAGGTGTTCTTTTATATAGAGGAGTGTCACCAGGTGTGCTGGTACTCTCCTGGTATAGATCTTCACATGTTAAGGGGTGGGGGGTAAATGGGCTACAGGCCACATGCACTCACCAAGCGAAATGCAGAGGTAACTCTCTACTTCACGCTGGTATTCTGTGAGGTCGTAGTACCACCCCGGTTTGAGCCGGCCCATCCGTGCGACAGCAAAAGCTGTCGCGTGGCTCACTGTACCACTGTTAAATTGGTAGTATAATTAATGACAAAACTTAATTTAGTTCATTGGCATAACTGACATTATATTATATATTAATAATAATAATGTGATTCAAGTACTACCTACATTAATAACTATTCACACAGTGAGTATAACAAAGGATATACTACAAGTTTCTTAAAATCCTTCGTATTGTTAAGTACTGACGTAGTAGAGGTTGAGCAACTCATCACAGAGTTAAAGGATGTTTGTTCTGTGGGCTGGGATTGCATACCAAATAAGGTCCTTAAAGACTTCAAACACATTTTCGTCCCTCCATTGACACATATTTTTAACAACTGTTTATCTCAAGGTATATTTCCTACGTTTCTAAAAAAATCTATGGTATTTCCAATTTACAAGGCAGGTGACGAGACTGTGTCAATAACTACAGGTCTATATCGATACTTCAATCCATCTCTAAGCTTATGGAACGCATAATCAATAAAAAGACTAGAACCTTCAAATATATAGAAGGAAATAACTTTATTTCTAAAAGCCAGTTCGGTTTTAGACCCGATAAATCAACTAGTGATGCAGTCCATGAGGTTACTGACTATATAGTAGGTAATCTGGATAAGGGCAAGAAAACTATTGGTATATTTTTGGATCTTGCCAAGGCTTTTGACACAGTCTCCATTCCTTTATTATTACATAAGCTTGAATCTCTTGGAATACGTGATGTTCAACTAAATTTATTTAAGGAATACCTTTCTAATAGATATCAATGTGTCAAAATTTATGATCAAGTTAGTGGAGATCTACCGATTACACACGGTGTGCCACAAGGCAGTATATTAGGCCCAAGCTTGTTTATGATCTATATAAATAACCTCTGTCAGCTAAATATCCCAAATTGTAAAATAATTTGCTATGCAGATGACACTGTCTTGCTATTCTCTGATGACTTATGGGAGAATGCTTACAAAAGTGCACAGTTCGGTTTAAATCTAGTTACTCATTGGCTACAACAATATTCTCTTACTCTTAATGTTGAGAAGACACATTTTATCTCCTTTAGTATGCGAAACTCTACTCAACCAACGCAGTCTCTTTCACTAATAGCTCATAGTTGCTGTAATAATAACTTCTGTTCATGTCCTTCCATCACTAAAACTGCTTCCATAAAATATTTGGGGGTAATATTAGACCAAAATTTAATGTTTCATGAACATATACTTATGGTTTGTGCCAAACTCAGAAAACTAAGCTTTATTTTCAAAAATCTTCGACATGTGGCGCATCCCAAATTGCTGAAACAGGTATACTTATCTCTTGCTCAATCAATCCTGAACTATTGTATTACTGTTGTTGAAATAGCACAAAGAGCAATCCTTAAAGTATGCACTTTTAAACCCTTACTTTCCCCTATGTTTCAGTTATATCAATCCTTTGGAGTACTCACTGTTGGTCAACTATTTATTTTAAACACAGTGTTGAAACAACATTCGTGCTTATCTTATAATAAAGATCTCTTGTTATCTAAACGAAGAAAAGATAAAGTTTGCAAAAATAGACCTATTTCTAGTCATTCTTTCGTCAATAAATATTTTTATTACCTTGGACCACTTCTTTATAATAAAATCAATAAAAAACTGAATTGTGTTCTTTAAATAAAAAGAAATGCAAAATTAAATTATTTGAATTTCTTCACTAGTTAAACTTTGAAGAAACTGAAGCATTACTTACTACTAGGTAATGTTACTTACACACCCTCTTACACACACTCATGCTTTCAACATCTTATACACAAAGAGATACATATTAATACACATTATACCATTTTTCTTTATATCAAAACACATTTTGTTATGTTTAAGACTCCCATTTCATCTGTTGTATACCTTCTATTTAAGTTATCCTATGTGAGTCTGTTAATATGTAATAGGGAAGAGCACTGTGATCTGAAATACAGATATATATTTATCTAGTTCAGACACAGATGTTCCATCATTCTTTGTGAACTAGGTATAGATCATAGAATAGTTATTTATAAATGTGATAGTTATGCAAGTTTTGAAAATAAAGTATTATTATTATTATTATTATTTATGACGATCTATTATATAACAGCTATGAGGGTGGTATTGTAAGATAATCCATCACTACATGGGTTATGCGACAAAAGGCGATATTGGGAAATTAAAACGATCTTTAGGCTTTGGACAGTTGGTGGTATAACCATTTTGTTAATGCCAGATGCTGAAAACGAGGCATTCTATCTTAGTTCTCAGGTGTGACAATGCATCTAATTTTGATTCTTAATCGAGGATAAATCTATGGACCACAGTACCCACTTACTATGTGGTGGACTGTGTGCTCATTTAAAACCCATATTCTATAAAAGAAATATAGGTGGCATGATGTTCAGCCGCTCCAAAATTCATACTTTGACAGAGTAAGGTTGTAAAATAAATGTAGTGTAGTAGTAGTAATGAATGTCTTTAAGTAGGGGCCATGCCTACCCTTAATTCAGGGCGCTGATTCAGTGTAGTGTAATACCTTTTTAAGTTTATTTGCCATCTTTGTAGTATATAAAAAAATGGAATTGGCCAAAGACAACGGGAGAGGCCTGCTGAACATAGCAGTGAGCTCTTCTGGACTGATGAAGAAAAAGGAGAAGAAAATAGTTTATCATTGACATCTTCCCCTGTTTCCTCCTCAATATTTGTATTGTTGCGCGAACATCTATCCGGCACTAGCGCCATCTAGTGTCAGGGACGAGAGCGAGGGGAGCTTTCCAGAAAATGACATCACTAATCTTTGAACCGACAGCGCCATCTAGTCTCGGAACGAAGAACTAAGCTTCTAGAAGTCGACACTCGAACTCTCGGCCCCTTGCGCGTGTTTACTTGAATATTCTGGATGTTTCGGTGCTAATTTGTATTTATAGGCGCTGCAAGACGCGATCGGGGAAGTATTGAATTCGGCGCGACAAGCGAAGCTTTGGAGCGAAATAAAGTGAATCAGTGTGGTTAATTATTAGTCTTTTAAGTTTTAATTAGTGTAAAGAAAATGAAAGTGTTAATTTAGGTAATTCTATTGGCAATTTTTATTGTCGCGAACCTCAAGCTCGTAACAATTGGTGTCAGAAGTGGGATTAAATCATGCCGATTTTAGCTAAGGAGGAAACGGAGGTTGTCCATACCCGAAGTCAACGCCAGCAGGAGACGGACCAGAGAAGATTTGGTGGTGCAACGCCGCAGACGTCGGAGGGCCAGCCGCAGGCCACGGAGGTCGGCCCGTCAGTAGCTCCTGCATCTGCAGCACCTGACTTAGATGCTCTGATGGTGATGCTGCAGCAACTGTAGCGCGGACAGAAGGAACAGGCCCGCCGATTAGAAGAGCAGCTGCGGGGCGGACAGGAGGAACAGGCCCGCCGATTTGAAGAGCAGCTGCGGGGCGGACAGGAGGAACAGGTCCGTCGTTTGAAAGAGCAGCTCAAACGCGATAAGGAAGAGCAGATGCTCCTCATGAAAGATATCCACGCTACCTTCGGAAAAGAGATACGGGAGGTGAAAGATAAAGTTGCTCAACATGACAACCGCCTGTCGGAAGCTGAAACCCGAATCGACCAAGTGAACAATCGGGTTGACAACGTAATGGCTGACATGAAGAAATCACTGGACGAACTCAAACTTGGGGATGGAACTACAGCTCCCGTAGTAGCTACTACACCTTCGCTGCGTGGGTTCAAGGTGCCGCCGTTCGACGGGACTTCTTCCTGGTCGGCCTATAAAATCCAGTTCGAGGCCGTCATGGAGGCAAACGGCTGGAATAAAAGCCAGGCCATGACTGCACTCACCTTAGGCCTGCGCGACCAAGCCTTAACCGTGTTGGAAGCTCTCGGTAAGAAAGTGACCTACGAGCAGCTCCTTGAGGCATTGGAGGCGAGATATGGTGACGCTCACCTGGAACATGTCTTTCGCGCGCAGCTTAAAGATCGTGTGCAACGCAGCAACGAAAACCTGCAGCAGTGGGCCCTTGAGGTGGGGAAGATGGTTCGAAAAGCATACCAGTCTGTACCTGCGCTCATTGAAGGGAACCTGGTGCAGACATTAATCGACGGCATCCGCGACCTGGAAGTCAGAGCTACAGTGAGTCTCGGGCACCACGATACGCTTAAGGACGCCTTGGCCCATGCACTGGAGGTGGAAGCCGTGCGGCAAGATCATCGTTCCCATCGCGACCGCAACAAAGGATACAGCCCTAGGTGCTATGGCTGTGGGGAAAAGGGCCATCTTTGATCCAGCTGCCCTAAGCGAACCCTAGAAAGGTAAGGTGAA